TCTACACGGATATACACAGATAAATGAAATATAGGCATACAGGCAGGACAGATACCTATTTGTGCGTGTATTTGATATTCTGCTGGGACTTGAAGTGGAAAGAGCAAGAAAAAGCTACTGAAAATTTACTTTAAAAGCCTGTGGCTGTGGCATCTTCACCTGATCAGAAGCTCTCAGGCACAGGGTGGGATTATTGGGGTACAGGGCCAGGAATTGGATGCAAAGATCCCAATGGGTCCCTTCCAAATCAGCACATTCTATGATTCTTAGATAAGCACTATTTTCCCCAACAAATAATTATAAAAATGAATTAGTATGCTAATTCTTAAAACACAGTCCCTGCTTGTTTAGCCTTTATTTCATTCACTTTGAAATGATCCACTGTAGCCTTTCCCCTTTTTAAAGATTTGTCGCTAAACTATGGCACTCAAGTAGGTGGTTAAGCCAATACTTCCTTTTCCTCAGCCACACACAGTGGGAAGAGGCAGCATATCATGTTTTCAGGAGACTCTTGCCAGAATGTTTTCCTGGGATTATCATCACATCTCAAGGATTATGTCCATATAAAACATAGATTTCCCAACAATACAGGTTCCTTGGAAAGAAAATTTTGTTTTCTTTAATTAACTTATTTTGAATGAATAAAGGAGTCCACTGGGAAGGAGTCAGTTCTTAAAGAAAATACTCATTCTTGTAATTACCATGTTCCTGCTTCCTCTCTACCCTGCCAAAATTCATCATAAAGAAGAGGTGTGGTCATTAATTGCCTGCCAAGTGGCACAATTCATGTTCTGCAAATGCAGAATCTTCTAGGTGAAGTGATCCAGATGAGCTATAAAATATCCCTTTCTGTGTTTGAATACCAGTACAGAAACACACATGTGTGCTGAGATGACGTGTTGTGTTCATTTTTATTCACTTTTTTTTTAGAACACTTTGATTTTTCTTTCCTTCAAAGTACTTTTTAAAGGACTTAATTTCTGTGCAATAGAGCTCAAGGGCAAACACTCAGTAAATGCTAAATAAGGAATGCACTCATGGTTCTAAAAACATTTCACATTCTTCAAACTGATGTTAGTTGTATGCATTGACAGTAATCCTGTCTAATCCCTTCCACATGTATTATCTTTGTACACCTGCTTTCCTTGTCTCACTTATCAGTTTTGAATACTAAGAACCACAATTTGCAGGAAGGCAAAGCAGCAGAATAAAGCATCCATGCACTCACATCTTGCTATGCTGCAGTTTTGCATTGTAAAAATAAAACAGTTGTAGATTTTGGTCCTTGGAGTCAACATCTTCCATTAAGACATTTTTCCACCCTCCTGCCCCCCCAGCTGATGTCTGTCTGTGTTTGTGTTCCTTGGCAGACTGACTGAAGCACACAGAACAGCTGTGAAAGTCATCAGGAGAATGCAGTATTTTGTGGCCAGAACGAAATTTCAGGTAAGCAGCAGGATTAATTACAAGTGCATCTCGTGAGCTTGTGTGACATCAAAGGTGCTCTCAGAGTGGACTTGTGTTGGTGAGCATGGTTGTAATAAGTCAAAGGTATTCTTGAAGTTCTTGGGCTCACATCTTTCGTGGATTTTTTAATGGTGTAGGCAAAATTATCAGTGATGCGTGGATGTAGTATGCTACAAACCCCTGACTGTGGAGGCAGCATTGTTATTTTTTACTTCTCTTTTATTGCACTTGTTTTTGATGTTCTGTTTGTTTAACTATACTGACCAATACTTCTCCATCCACTGGCAGAAGTGAAGAAAACACTGGTGTTGGGGTGAATGAAACCTATGTCAGGTGTTTGCAAAAATACTGATCATAACAAGAATGTTATCAGTCATCTCATCAATTAGGAAATGTTCAGTCCTGTGCTGCATAAGGCTGACTGATCAATAGCTCTCACTGACCAGTACTGTGGGCGCAAAGTTGCTTTCACAGGTGTGACCCACATTTATAAATGACTTTCGTAGAAAGGGACCTCATAGGCCATATTTTATAAAATTGTGAAAATTTCAATTTTCACCTGAAAATTCTGGAAATTTGCTGTCTTTATGAAGCGTTCAGTTAATTTTCTCAATCAGGTTATAAAGTGCTCAAACTAAATGTGCGGCATTGAAAATACTGTTTCATTTTGCCTGCTTAGTGAGACTAATTATGATAACACTTGTTTGGAATGTGATCCTGATATCATCATTCTCATCATCCATGGTCTGGAAATGCCATGGAAATGAAAAAATAACTTCTGGACTAATTTTCAAAGCCCTCATTATTTTCATCTCAATGTTCATCCTTTTTTTGTCCAAGAGGCTCCACAGCAAGTTAATGGCCTTTCATAATCCTTCTGAAGAGGTTTTAAAAAAATAAATCAAAAAGCTTAATTTCAGGGAAGTTTAATTAGAGCTGAGCACTTAAGTGCAAGGGATAGAAGCTTGAGATGAGATTCCAGGACTCAGAAGACTCTAAATTAGGGCAGATAGAACATCTTATATATCTCCTAATCTCATGCAGATGTGTATCTTCAGATAACCCTACCACTTGAAAGAAGACTAGGAGAAGTCCATTTGTTAAACTCAGAAAAATGGGAGAACAGGATTATACTGTAAATATACCAGAGAGATAAACACTATGGGAAATTTCAGAAGAAAAAAAAAAAGAAAATAGAGATGCCAGTTCAGTAAAACAAAATCAGTTTATAAATGAGTTAGGTTAAATATTAGAATATTTCAAACCACCAGAGACCTAATGTTCTGGAGCTATCAGACAGTAGCAGTCATGCCAAACCTTAAAAACAGAATTTCATCAATCTATGGAGAGAATTCTGTGACTCAGTGACAAGGAAGAAGAAGAAAGAATAATTTTTTGTTTCTTCCTTTCTTGGGGCCATGAAATACAGTTTATAGGACTCTACATACTAATTAGATTTTGGAAGTTCAAAGCTGTGTAATATTATTTACTTTTGCATGTGAAATGTGGAATACAGAGCTCAAATGGCCAGGATTTGGGATTATGAACAGAAAGAAAGTCAAAGGAGTTGTTCAAGTGCTGCATTTAGCACACTTCTCTGGAAGCCCATTACCTCCTGACTTCAGTTGTATTGTTCTAGCATTTCCTAATAAAAACATGACAGGGGATTGTGCCAAAGTTTGGCAAGACATAAGATGACCAGATCCAAAGATTTATGGAGAAAGAGGAGGGGGAAATGGTGAAAGTTGGAGGGATACTTTTACTCAGTTTCAGAGAGGACTCAGGCAGATTGCAGCGTCCAGCACTTTGCAACTGTAGGATTCAGAACTGTTGATTTGGTAAAAGGGATAACAGACATTTTCCCTCTCTTTTGAGAGGGAAAAGAAATTTCACTGGGAGTGAGTAGAATTAATCATTCACATAGTAGCCCATGGGGGAGAGGGGAGGGGAAGACTCCCCGGCACATCTAAACTCTGTGCCATGCATGGTGTTTACATAGAGAGTGTCCAAAAGAAAAGACACAAGATTTAGCCAAAATGCTGTCCAGGCACCCCCACTAGTCCATCTAAAGAGTGACACTGGCATTAGTTCTTGGGGTGAAAACAATAGGCTGCTTTTCTGGCCAGAAACAGTGATGTGTCAGCATCTGCAAAATGTGGAGCTGGAGAAGGGGGAGAAAAAACAAACAACCAAAAACCAAATGATAAGCTGAAAGCTGAAACCTCCCTCCCCACGAAGCCCCTGGTCCCAAATGCACTCAAATGTACACACACACACCTCCAAAGCCATAACTCTTCTGAAAGTGTTGGTGAAGGTAAGTGCTGAGTACAGGGAAGGCATTTTGTCACGAAGAGCTCTTGCTTCTTCATTCATCTCACAGGATTTGTTTCCATTCCAGTTCCAGGCTTTCATTTCAAATTTCTAGGATTGTGTGGCTGCCTTCCAAGCATGACTCCAGCACATACTGTAGGTGTTCAATGCATGTGTGCAGTGGTGCATGCTAATGGCTCTGGCTGAGCCACTCTGTGTCAGAGTGCAAACAGACAACAAGATGACTAATGAGCTGTTTTCAGTAATTTCCAATTACTAGATTTGAAGTTTACCTTTGCTTTTTTTCATCCCCTCCCTTCTTTTTTGAGTCAGAGCCAAATACAGAGACATCTTGTCCCACATTTCCCATAAGGGTTCTCAAAATGATGGTCTTTCAAAAAGACCATGATTCGTGTTTATACTTCCACACACACATTGATTTTACTTGCTAAAATTTCACTGTGCTGTACTTCTTATAACCGCATCACTTTATGCAAATTCTGTAGACTTGTTTCAAAATTTGGCCACAAGAGTTGCAACAAGAAACCAGAGTTTGGCATAAGCATCTGGATTTTCATTAGGATGGGAATATAGCTGGGTAGGTGGCAGTTTTCCAACTCTCCTGCATTTTTTTATCTGTCCTTTTTTAATTGAATTGCACCTTTTCTTCTGATCTTGAAGGTATCATGAAAGACAAAGGAGCACAAACAAAATCTATGTGCAGCAAACTCCTGACTTATGCAGAGTATCTGTCCTCCCTGTTCTTCAAGTAGCAATATTTCTGTCACCAGACATCATTGGTCTTCAGTGACATTTGATTCTGGGTCCAAGTGTTCTGAGTTGGGCCAGTCCCTAGGGTTCAGTCCCCTGACACTATGATTAACTCATAGCTTTGGAATGAGCCAGGAGATACTACACATGGGGGTCACAGATAGTTATCCATCTTGGGTTCATGCTTCCCAAATACACTGTGAAGGGCTAATATTTTGCTCAGTATGGAGCAACATGAAGACGTGACTCTAACTGACAGTAATGGGAATGATTTGGCTCCATCTCCACAAAAAATATTCACTCCCACAAAGGCTGCATATTTAGTTACTTTTTGCAACAACTGTTTCAAAATGGAAGGCAAATAGGCAGATAAAAAAATAGAATGAAGGCCTGTCTGAAATAGAAATCCCATTTGGCCAATACTCAGCTTTCAACGTGCTGCCTGCCTCCTTTCCCAGCAAGCTTGGAAGCCATACGAGGTCCGTGACGTGATTGAGCAGTACGCCCAAGGACACCTCAACACGATGGTTCGCATAAAAGAACTTCAAAGAAGGTGGGCCCTGTCTACCTCATGAAATACCTGATTTCTCTAGTGCCAGCTGGCTTTAGGAGAGAAGGATATTTAATGAACAGTAATTGTCCAAAATTGCAAGCACAACAGAGAGCACAATATCTGGAGGATTTAACTTGGAGCCATTTTTAACTCTTTTAATGACCAAGTTTACAGTTACCCTTTATTCTCCTCTCCTTTTCTTCCAAGTGGAATTAAAAGAAATGAAGTTGCATGCTGTGAAGTTTATGGTGCGATCCAAGCTTTTCTGTCCTCTTCTTAGGAAAGGAAAACTTTTCAAATAATGATTTACCGTTCTCTTTCCACTCTGTGGTTCTTCACAACTGAGAGAAATCTGTTTCACTTGTGCTTCACTATCTGGAACTTTTCCCTGCCCATATTCCTCCATGCACATGCTTTATCCAAGTTTGGGATTTGCAGCTGAAATATTTTGCCACAAAACTATTCTCTTCTGTTTCAGCACAAAGTGCTTTTTTTCTTTTAAAATTAATGCTGTGGACTGGGACATCAGAATGAACTCCCCTGGCCCTTAAATGAAAAAAAAAAAAAATCCTATTGAATGGAATCTACTGTGTCAATATATATAGATATTAAATCTGCCTGCATGAAGCTCTAGGAATAGTTGCAAATGTTATTAAGAAGTCTTTCTGTTTGTAGTCTTTGTTATTAGATGACATAGGTCATGGGAGAACTATGTTTTAGTTACAGCTTGAAAGTCTGAGAAATATTAGTACTCATGAAAATAACAATAATAAGGTTTGATTTTGGAGGAAAAACTTAAAGAACTAAACTGCTGACTGTGTGTGCAGAAAGTCATTCTAATCTCATGTTTTTGCTTGTTTTGGTTTGGGTTTAGAGCTACTGTAAATTCTCATGTAAATTATTCTCCCATGCTTAGCAACAGAGTTTAAGTTGCTTGGTAATTGCTCTGCCAGTAATTTTCTGTTTGCTTTTCAGGTTGGACCAATACTTGGGAAAGCCAGGTCTTTTCCTCCCAGGTATAGTGACTGCATTTTATGCAAAATTATTATCTTCATAACTTTGTGAAAATACCCTTGGCTACTGTAATGTGGATTTATAATCTAGCTAATTATACATTAATGTAATTCTGTTAATAAACCCTGGAATGCCCGTGTGAAGACAAATACATTTCATTCAGGTGGTAGTGGAGTAAATGGAAATTAAGAATAAATGATAAAATGTGTATTAGAACATGATGAGATGAAAACATCCTGAGGGAAATTCTTTTACAAAAATACTCTTTCTAAATCTTTTCGGCTGGGATTACAATATATATTGATTCAATTTCAAAAGGTTTCTTCCTTCCTTAACTCATGTCCCATATCCCCAAGTGACTTGGAGCACAACTGAGGGTGGCAAAGTAATTTCAGAGCCTCTAAAAATGGCATTTTGTCAGTGGTTAATATTATCAGAGCAAGGAATATAATTTAAAACACATTTTCAACATCTGATTGCTGCAGAAGGCTCAGTAGTACAATCCTTTTTCCCTGTAGCTGGTTTTGAACCACAGGAAAAGAATCTGTCAGCTTGAATTCTTCTATAAATATTTATGTATGGGAATTCATTCCACAATGTGCAAGCTAAATTTATGGAAAACTGTCCCTTACCTCCAAGAATGTATTATTTTATTTCAAGTGTAGTATTACCAAGCTGGAACTACAATTTGTTCTTGAAAAGACCAGTGTTAGAAGAACTTTTTATCAAGAAGTTTCTAGTTTTGAAGGAGGTGAATAACTAGAAGCTTGTTGTGAAATACTGTTCTGAGAGGTTCAACAAGCTGAAGATGTTCAGGAAGTGTCATGGGGTGACTTTACCTTTAAGATAGTTTTGAGAGCTAAGGAAGTTGAAGCTGCTGGTGACTGATGGGAGTATTTTCTCCTGACCAATTATCAGTAATTTCTGAGAATTGACAGCAGTTTTGACCATTGAAAAGTAGGATCAACCTGTGAACACCACCTTAAGACCTAAGCCTGGGAATTTCTTTGTCTCTTTGTTTCCTGGCTGTGAAAGGTAACTGAGCTTTAGCTGTCTTCCCGTCCCCTGCCCAGGCCATGCAGCCCGGGCAGGGGGGCTGGGCTGAGCCTGCCACGGCTCCCGGCCGGGAGATGGGGCCTGCAGGGGCTGGGCTCTGGCCAGGCCAGGCCCGTCCCTGGCTGGGCTGCAGGTTTTTTTTGCTGTGACTGAATTCACCAGAGACTGCCGAGTAAAGAAAGAAGAAAAGCTCTTGACTTGCGGCAGGCTGAGACAGTGACCACACTCTCCAGAGCAGCCATGAAGAATCTTCCATCGCAGACAGCTCCAGCTGCTGCTCCGGCAGAGATCACAGAACCATCTACAAAGCCTGGGCAAGATTTTAACCCTTTCATTATCCAGATGAGACTTGCAGATTAATCCTTTTATCCAGAGAGAGAAAAAAAGAGTAATTAACATATAAAGAGACTTTATATACTATCAGAGACAGTAAAGAAAAGAACTAAGCTTCAGGAAAGGTAGAAAATAAGGAGATGCCTTAGTAAGCTGGAATATTCTTTTGTTAAAGCTATGAAGATGGACAATAGTGTCCTGAAAAAACTCCTTTAATTCATGACAGAGTATATAGGGAGGAATGGAGTGTTCAAAGTTTGGATTTTGAGCAAAAGGTGGAGTAATTGTGATACAGTGAAGTGCTGGAACAGAGTGAGACAAAGTAGTAGTTGAAGATTTGAGGCCTTGAGAGCCAATGAGAAAACTGTTTCCAGGGAAGCTCACAGAAACAGATGAAGAGAACTTTTGCCTTTGAATAACTCATCCTTAAAAATGACATCCCTAGACTCATTGACCCATACACATCTCAGAGTGATGTGAAATGGGAGGAGAGAGCTGATGACAGGATTTCCGGGCAGCTGGCATCAGAAAAATAGAAAACTATAACAGAAATAGCTTTCTTGTAGAAAACTCCATAGATACGCAGACGAAGACTTCTGTTTCTCTACAAAGACTGATGAAAAGACTAGCAGAAACTAGGACTGTTTTAAACACTAAAGTTCCAAAGTTTCTTGTCTCTGTGTTTTCATGTGAACAAAGAAATGGTGGGTAGTAAGGGATAAAAAGGGTTTTCTGGAAGTTTATTCTGGTGTTCTTATTCTTGTAGTTTTGTTAATAAACTTTCTTTATTCCTTTTTAAGTTTTAAGCCTGTTTTGCTCTTGTTCTAATCCATATCTCACAGCAAAAAAAAAAAGTAAGTCTTTTAGTAATTTTTTAGTTACTGCTTTAAAATCACGACAGGAAGTTTGGTCTCACCAAATCTTGAGTCAAAGGAGTCGTAGAAACCATTGGGAGGGTCTTTGGTGGGCCTGTGGCTTTGAACAAGTGTTGGAAATAATCTAAAGTACCAAAGAGCAGACTGGAAAAGGTAGAATGGATGCAGAAGCTGGTGAGCTCAGTTAGGGGGTTGCAAGACCAAAACCAGAAGTTATTTGATCTAGTAGTTATTTTTCCTAAACCCTCCACAAATCCAAAAGTAAGATAAGTGGTTCCAGAGAAACGGTCTGCAGAACTAAACTTTGTTTGCAATTCCTCCTGGTGTTATCCAACCCACCTTTATTCCCAGGATTTTCCAAGTGGTGAACACTGAAGAGTGGGTGTGGTATTTGTCTGTTTGTACTGTCCTTTTCTAGAAAAAGGGTAATCCCTGAGTTTCCCTCAGAATGTGTGGCTTATTCTACACTGAACATAGATTTTTGATATAATACTTCTCCAGGCATTGCTAAAAACCTCATTTTTAACAATATGGGTGTTTCACCCAGACTGTGTTATTTTTGTACTGATGACAAGCAAAAAAGAAATGACAATGCAAAGAAAATTAAACTGCCAAGGAGAAAAACATGAAAAGAATTTTGCTTTCCAGCTCCTTTCATTTTTTCCGTTTTATTATAGTCCCATTCAAAGAATATTAAGGGCTGATTCCAAGCCCGATGAAATTAACGTGAATCTTTCCAGTGACCTCAGTGGGGTTTGGATTAGTATTTTTATTGAAACTCTGTTGTGGACTTTGATGATATTATATAAAAGTAACTGCAGACTGTCTATAGTATTATTACCTTTCAAAAGTTAATGATAGCATAAATGACCCAGAATCTGAATTCACTGGAAGCACTTATTGTTATTTTTCAAGTAAGTTTCTCCAAGATAAGAAAGCACTAAAACTGTGTTAAAACAAGATAAGGATATGAGAAGAGAATAAAAGCCATGCTGGGTCAGAGCAGTCCTGATTCCGATGGAGGCAAGAGCAAGGTTTGAGAAACGTGTAAAAACCTCCAACCTTCCTGTCAGCTTTCAGCCCATTGCACATCAAGCACTTCCTGACAAGGTTGCATTGTATTTACTGTCCAAAATGGTTTGTCCTCAATGAACTTGCCTAATTATCCCTTTAAACTTATAACATCTGCCATATTTTGTACAAAGAATTCTCATAATTCCACCTTCACATATGCATATCGTGAAGAATTCTCCCTTTTTGCTTGTTTTGGTCTTAGCATCTCCTCCCTTTCTTTGAAATTCCTACAAGCAGGAGTGAATGTAAAAACACTAAGATAATGAATCAATTTTCCAAGGACCTGGATGCTACTTTTATGAATATATTCAGAAGACTCTGAGTGGGTTTTAATGGAACCCTGCCCCAGTGTTCCAGGGGACACAATTTTCTCAGATGAAACAGATTCCTATCATAGTAAACATGTGACTTCATAATGGAAGGTGTTGATGTAGAGGCAAAGAGCATATTAATTGAATTTATGGAATCAATGAAGTAGATACATACAGTGATACAAATGAGGAGTGTCTTACTTGACCTTCACTACACACACTGCTTTTGAATGCAGTTTTTGAGACTTATTATAGCTTTTCAGGGGCAAAGTTAAAGAATAATGCCAAGGTAAAACAAAAGGTCCAGTGTTTGGGTTCAGAAAAGTACAAAAAATCTGATGTTTATCTGCAGTTTATCTGAACCTCTTGGTTCTGCATGACACTGGTGGGAATGCCTGAAGAAAAGGGCTTTCTTACAAAATTTTGACAGTTCCATTATTTGCTTTTTTTTTTTCCATTAAGTGCCACTTAAGCTTTCTGATACTTTTGTCTTCCCATCTGTAAAGAAATTAGGTCACTGTATCTTTTAAAGTGTAATAAATATGCTCAGATTAATTTTTATCTTTTTAAGTCCATTAATATTTGAAATGAGAGACACCCATATTTCTGCAGGAACTGATTTATCCTGGTCCTGGAGATGAAAATATTTTGGCAGTTTACTTTTTAGGCTGTCCAAAGGAAATCACAAATGGCTATGCCTTACATTTTTTTAAATTTCTTCTACCAATCAGCTCTAAAAGAAAAGAGACTCCAATTAAAATTGTCATGACTGAGGCAACTTTGTTACTTGCTATTTTATGGGTGTAAAGGGGCAATCCTGACCTTTTTCAGCAGCGCACATAGTTTACAAACTCAAGAATCCAGATCTTGCCATAAGCTCATCAAAATTATCCCTACGTGGAGCTTTGTCAGAACTGAAGCAAGCACAGGTCCAGAAGGCTGTATTTGCACCGAGTTAGCCAAAAGAAGGCAGTGGTGTCTCCTGGGCTGTTCTGCTTTCTGAGACACCATTTACAAAGGTTTTGAGATGTCTCCAGCAACCTGGAATATCGGGTCAAATTCCTCATTTATTGCTTGAAAGGAATTGATGGCTTTCAGATAAATTTGAATATATTTGAATTAGGTCCCCTCTAGCTGTGTAAAAATCAAGGAAGGACTCTTGCTCTATAAAGCAGTGTCGTTCCAGCTTTTACCATTTTCAGACATCTCTCTGCAATTCATTCACTTTTCTAAAGGTCCTCATAAATACTTTTCCCTAACCAAAGGAAAGAAATTGATTTTCTTTAAAGTTTAGTATATTCTTATGAGATGGAATAGACTAACGGTCTGAAAAAATAAGATTATGGTGCCATTCTTCCTTTGATTTGCTTTCTTCCTCCTGCTTATATCAGTATTGTTATTTATATGATGTGCTTCCATCTGGGGAAAGAGTTATCATCTCTTGAACTGGTGTGAAGCAAACCTAAAAGTGTGTGTGGTTCTTGGTTGGTTTTTTGTTTTGTTTTTTTTTTACAAGAGTTGTATCTTGTTCTTTACTATGTAAATAGATGGGCCAGCTTTGTGAAAATATTAGGAAATTAATACAGGATTGTGTTGCTTTCCAAGTAGAATAGTATGTATACTTGGGAAGGCAAAGTCTTCCAGGGAAGAAATGTCCATATTAATAAACATATATAATTATTATTAATCTATATTAACAACTATTCAGTCTCCTGAATTAGAATGCCTATTGCTTATTTGCTAGTGTTTTCTCTGATTCAAATCTTAAGTATATAAATAATGGGTCTGTATCATACCAACCATGTGATACAAGATGTTTTCAATATTTTTTTTATTTCTGAGTTAAAATTTTCCCACATATATTTTCATCCAGTTATAAATAATTGTGTTTCCTTTCATCATGCCATGTATGATCATGTATGATTCTTTGTGCCTTTCCCATAAGTGTAACAGGATCCCTCAGCTGCTCTTCGTTTTAGTACACCCCAACAACGCAAAGAGTAAAAACTCATGAGTAAAAGAAAGTTATTTTGGATTAAAAAGCAAAGACTGGAGAAATTTAGACATTTCAGATTTATAGTTGGCCATGCAGTCTTTTAAACTCTATAAAAACAATCAATCTAAGATGTAGGAAGAATAAAATCATCTATCTAGAAATAACTTGAGAGAGAAACGTAAACATGAGATAGAAATCACACCTACTGGAGCAACTTTATCTGAACTTGTGATCCCACTCCTTACCCAAGTGTTTGGTGGATTGTGCACATGCCACATTTGCTTTTAAAGATGGTCTCTGTAAGAAGGGAGTGCTTGTAAATTAAGGCTGGATGCTGCTCCTCATGGAGGCTGACAGAAAACTGGGGAAGATCATGGCATTTTGTGACTTACATGGCCTGCATGCCAGCAGAGGGGTGCATGAGATGCAGTTCCCTCCATGTGCACCCTTCCTTCCACTTCTGATTTTCCACATCTTAGAGCAATGCCACATGCCACAATACAGCTTCTTATTGCTTATCTGCTCCCTATTTTCTTTTCTGTTCTGCACAGCTTTCAGGAATAATTAAAATAGGAAACACTACTAGCTTAGTTTGGGATGTCTTGGTGATTATCTGAAGGATGGAATTAGAGCTGGTGAGGGAATGATTATGTAATTATTTTAGAAAAGAAAAAGCTTTTTGAAGTATTTCTTCAGATTTAGGGGACTTTTTGGGGGTTAGACCTAAACAAAACCACCACCTGCCCACTGCTGTTCAAACCATATCCCAATGTAGAAATCCTTAAAGTAATGCTTTTTTTATATATATACTTTGAAAGATGTGTCTACAGATTTACTAACTGGAAAATAGACAGCAGAGCCAATTATTTCATTTTAGGCAGAGATGAACACAGAGGTAAAGTTGAGCTTCAGCCACTTACATTTTAAGAAGTTTCTGAGGCTGTGAATGATGAACAGTGCACATGTATGAGCCAAGCTGTGTCATTTACTGTTCCACATTTTCTTCCCACATTTTCTTTCCTGTCTATTTGCTCCTGCAGGTTTTCTGGGGAAGCACTTCTTTTTTCTAAGCCTGCAAAGAGCTGCCAAAGGTGCAGGACATTTTAAAGTTTCTGGGTGGTGTGTGGAGGAGAAGGAAAGCACAAAGTGCTCTTGTCAGCATTGCTTTTGCTAGTCTTCCCCTGGGGTTGTGGTGCATGCAGCACAAGTTACCTTGAGGTGAACTTTGCTGCAAACAGATCACTAAACATATCCCATTAGCAAATATAAATGGTGAAGCAAGAACAACTCCCTGAGAAATCCAGGAACGTGATGAGCATACACAGGCATTCATTGTGAACTCTGGTGTGAATTCATATCTCAGCCTACCTTCCTTCATATCTCAGCCTACCTTCCTCCATATCTCAGCCTTGCTCAAGTGGCCACACACCACCCTAAGCAAAATTGACTTGGATAGCTTTAAAAGCCAGACCTTAATCACTCATGTAAATGGAGCAATATACAAAAAAATCCAGGAGTAATTACTCCAGGTATTGGAAATATACTTCAATAGAGAAAACCATCCAACTTCCATTGGCATCAGGTTGTAAGTTATTTCAGTATTGGGCTGTGTTTTTTCACTTGTGAATGTTGTCTTCCAACTCAGAATAAGTGTGGGTTTGTGTTTCATTCCCTGTGCAACAACACCCTCAAAATATGGCATTCCTTAGCAATAGATCCTGTGAACAGAAAGGATAGACCCTATTTCCACAGTTTTCACTCTTGGCGTTGCACCATTTGCAGTGGGATGTGTAACTGGGCTTTTACTAATCAGGCCTCATAAACAATAGGAGGGAAAATTAGGATGCAAAAGTTTTTCCCAGTGTCACTCCTTTTCAGAGAGGAGATGGATGGGTGGATGGATGGATGGATGGATGGATGGATGGATGGATGGATTTATAGAGAGATGGATAAATCTGTCACTCCAGCCCATGAACCCCTGGACAGTGTTGCCTCCTGAACCTGCAACCTCAGTTGAAAACTATTCTGATTTCTTTATGTATAGCAAGTTTACCTTGCTCAAGCCAGAGATACTCAAAATTGCAGGTGTTCCCAGGTACCCTGCCCATTTCATCTGACTACATATAGTTCACTGAGATAATTAAACAACAAAACAGTGTTACTCCAGACTCCATCTATAGCCCTTCATGTTCACAGACTACGTCTACCAAGGTCCAAGTTGCCCTTTAGATTAACTTAATCTTGTCAGTCTGACAAACTAATTCCCTTCTCTCCAGCTACTCTCTTCCATTTCTGTTTCATTCTTTCTTGATATGTTCATGACTTTTATGTTACCATACTATTACCAGTTGTTTTTTGTTTTGTTTTGTTTTTTCTTTAAATACCATAGGTATAATTCATAGTTTGAATTTATTATCCACTAATGAATGTCCCATTTTTATTCTTCTTTCTTTAGAAAAAGGGGTAGACAAAGGATACTACAGTATAGGAGCCAGACTGATCCGGCTGGAGGATAAGGTAAGTGCATGAAAGCTTGCTTCTTTTTTTTTCTGAGCAATGATATCTGATCTAGAGACCTGCAAAATAGTATCTTGGCATGATTTACTTTAGAATTACAGGGCTACATAATAATGAATAATATCCTAATTTTTGTGAGGGAGTTGATGAAGTATCATGTGCATGTTGTTCAGCATTAACTATTTGCCTGCTATGCAGTCTTTGTTCTTGATTGTAAAAGGAGCTGCTTTCATGTTGAAGTCAAACCACACACCTTGTATACAAGTGCTGTGAACTGGCTGGTGTTTGTCACACAAGAATTAGTGAATTAAACAGAAATGTTAGTGACAGGAATCTTTGTGAATAGCAACAGTTGACATCTCAGTTACAAATCCTGACATTCTTTAATGTTTACTGCATTTTTTTCCCCCTGTGTAATTTGCACATTTTCTGCCCCTCCCTCACTGTCTTGTCTCTAGGAATTTGTTCATCTTTGATATTAATTAGAGTTACTTAGCTGTGTGCCCACAGGCCAAAGCTCAGTGAGGCTCTATTGTCTTAGATCTCTTTCAAACATCCTCCAGAGCTTTTTCCACTCAAGTGATAACAAAAATACGAGTTTGCTCAAAACTCAGACTCTATTTCTCTAACAGTGTTTTGGTCAGCTCTCCTACCAGCCTCTAAAAGTTGATGTCCCTCCAGCAGGGTTCTTTGTGTGGGCAGGAGCAGCACAATGGCTTTGCTAGGGGATTGTGATGTTGGTGAGACAAAAGTCCATTTGAATTTGGCATATCCACTGCCTATTTGTATACTTGTCTCACTCAAATTTGTCAGGCAAATTGTCTTTTCACTTTTTTCTGGGGAAGTGAGAGAAGAAGGAAAGAGGAAGGAAACTTCTCATAATTCTTAAGAACTGTGCATCTTGCCAAAAAGCAGAAATTGAAATTAAACTAATACAATCTTTTGCCTAATTTTTAATGATCATTGCTAGGACAACATTGGAAATAAATGACACTGCACTGTCAAAGGACAGATTTTCCTTGATTATTAGCTTTCTTGTTGAGTGTCAGAGAATCAGCCTCACAGAAAAAGACATTATTTGAGCTAATTTTTAAAGTGGATTGGTCCCTTGTGCAGTCACAGCCATTCAAAGTGAAAATGGCTTTCATTCAGATTGCCTTACTCACTTTGAAAGAGATAAATTGCTTTCTGGCCTCTGTAGTAAATTCATACCATGTCTTTATTCAGATTTCTTGAATGTGCATATAAAGAGAATCTCCCAATACAGATTGAAAATTTAGCAACATAAGTATCTGTGATAACAGCTGGAGTGCTTTGAGTAAGAAATACTGCTGGTATTGTAAATACTTCTGGAAGCAGAAGTTCATAGTCTCCTGACTGCTCCATATTTATGAAGAGAGGTGAGAAGGTTTTTAGTGTGTTTGACCTTGGTCCAGCTTTAGCACAATGTGCTGTGGATTTCATCAATTTTATTTCAAAGCCTTACTTAAAGTGCTGCAGAGGCATCTTGGTATAAGAAGGGGAATGTTACAGGAGATGTAGGAAGTGCTGCAGTGACTGATCACTGTTGCAGATACCTGCTTGTGTTCTGCCTTTAAATTAGGTGTGATCTAAATAAAGTCAGTGCAAACTCAAGCCATTAGTGGGCAAGACCAAGCTGCTCTTTTGTTTGAAGAGTTAAACTTTAAATTTTGCATGGGAACTGGTGATTTCCCACTCTCTCTACTTATTCTTGTGGAGAAAACACGTGGAAAAGAATGTGTCAAGTTATTCTCATGAGTCAATCATTGCAGCTTCCTTTTTGTTCTCAGACCAAACTGCAAATGTAAAATAAATGTCAGATTCAGAGGGAACCCAGGGCATTTGATCTTGCAGTTCAAATTATCATTCTTTCAGGTGTACAAGGCTACAATCTCACATCTCTGCTAAAAAAGTAGACGTGGAACAGAAAAAGGGCAAATATTTGTTGTGTTGGTTTGCTTCAGGTTTTGGTGGCATAAGTTTGGGGTCCTCAGTTTGTTTGAGGTTCTTTTTGTATTTGCATATTTTTGGCACATCAGGCTAAAATACACATTTACATAATGAATACACAGTTAAGCTTCCCAGCTATCTCTGTTTTAATGGGACAGTAGAAACTACTATAACCTGCTGTCAAACTGCTTCCCCTAATTTTCCCACATCTCATGGGCTCTCCTTCTCTAATAGTGCACTGTAGCACATAGCAGTAGCTGCTATGTGCCCAAATGTGAAACAATATATTGTGAAACAATATAATAACAATATAACAAAAGAAGGACAAGCTGAGTTTCAACCTCTGAGGAAAATAAATGAAGAAGGGCACGTCTGACATCAGGCTCCAGATGGTCGTGGAAAATGATCTTCCTCTTGGAACTAAAAAACCTTTGGAATCAACTCCTTTGCCCTGGAGAAATTATTTTAACATTCAGTCACCCAGTCTAGTGATGGCAGGCTCCCAAAAGAGTGACACATCTGATAAAAGAACACAGTTTTGGATAAAGGCCAGTTGGTGCAGACTGATAAAAAAGCAGTGTGGATTTCAGAATTTTATCTGCCTAAATGAGTTGTATCAATAAGCAATGAGGACACCTCTGGTCCAGAATGATCTTCCCCACCAGCATTTTGGAGCTAATTTGTTTTATCTGTCTCTCCAGAAGCGAATCAGAGTGTAACAAACCCGTTGAGAGCTGTGTGTTGTTCTGCATAAAGCCATAAGTCTTTTTGCAAAGTGAGGGAGAGAGAAGCACACATTTCTGATGATTAACTCCATTCCCTGGAGAGGTTTGCTGTTATTTCATTTAAAACATTACATTTGCTGTACAGAAAGGCAGAGGTGAAGATCTCTGAAGGGGTTTCTTGGTGATAGGTAGAAACTTTGAGGCAAAAATATTTCAAAGACACAAAGAAAATAGCCTTTCATTCATGTGGCATGAGAGCACTGCCTGTAGGCTCTCTTGTGTGACCAAACAGGTTCCTTCTGAAAGTTTGAAGTAGCAGGGAAGAGGTAAGAACCAGTTTGTGGAGGATAAAGTGCCATGCAACTCCAGCAGAAAGCATAAAAAAAAAATCTACTCCTTTTTGCCTTTAAGCATTGCACAGCTGACTAGAAACAGGTAAAATGCATGGTGGCAGCTCTCAGGCAAAAAAATCCAATATCCCTTTTGGCAACACCAACACTGTGCAAGGCTTCACTCCTCTCACTGACATGGCATATTGCACAGTGTGAGTTTGCCTGGAATACTTTTCAACCTGTTTTTACTTGAGTAGGGCATAAAATTCTTATTTTGTTGTGGCCAACGTAATAAGCTAGTGTGGTTCTTTTCACAAAAAAACCCACAGAGATGTTTGGAGAAAGTATGGGGCTCCCTTCCCAACACGTGCTGTGTGCCATTTGGCTGACCCCTCCTTCAGTTCCATGGCAGGGTTTAATTTTATATTGTGGTATGTAGCCATTGACAGATCCTTTTGAAATGTATTAAGAGGGAGACTGGTTCCAAGATGATGTTCTAGAGCTGGCATTAGTTTCTTTTCAAAATTGTAAACTAATGCTTCTTTATGATGAAATGAATATTCTTTCTTTTCCTTTTATTTTCAAAATTAGAAACAAAAATCATGGTATGTTATGTCAAACTGCACGGCAACCTATAAATAAAAACAGGAGAGAAAAGAATCTGCAAATGAAAGGTTAGAAAGGACAGCTGTGTTGTCTTTGAAAAAGAAATCTATTAGGTATTTTTATAATTATATGGCAGTCTTTTTTATGTGGTATTTACAGTTATGATTTACATCCATATTACCATAACTGTTTCCATACTTATAGACAACATGTGATAATGCTGAGAGCCAAAAGCAACCATTTGGTAGCATTTAAAAAATGTAGGAACACTAAGAGAAAACAGGGCAGTAAAGCAGAACCCTTCTGAGTCTTATCCATCTGAGTAATGTGAGCCAGGACAAAAATGTCATCCAACATAAACAAATGTAGAGCTTGGATTGTGGCAGTAAACTCTCTCTTTACCAATTTAAACACTCATTTTTTAGTTGGGAGGTTAAAAGATGGGCTCAGAGAAGGGTGGTAACAATGGAGAGATGGATGTTGGTGAAACTAATTCCTGTTGTGATTACATCAGGAGTCATTAAATAGTAAATTATTTATCATGGCAGTGCAGTACCAGTGTGAAGAGCTGGTAAGAATTTCCATTCTAAACCCCTAATTTGTGAGCAGGATGATGGGCATAACTGAAATGCATTTTAAAAAAAAAATAAAAAAGGAACAAAAAAGAAAAACAAAAGCTGAAAATTGGTGCACAGTGAGTTGGTTGCAATATGAGCATGCTATACTTTTGAGGTTTCAAGAATATGTCTGAAATAAAACTCTTTGTCAACCAAACCATGTTTTGGTACCAAGGTGTTCATGGGTTGTTTTCCCCTAGTTCCTTAAAAATGGAGTCATTCCATAACAGAAAACTTTTCAGCAGGCTGCTTGCAAAAGGATGTTGTGTGGATTTTCTTAGGTCAAAGTCTTATCTCATTTACTCTGAAGCAGTTCAGCATAAATCCATTGACTCTGTGCCATAAGCATAATGTCATTAAACTTTTATTTTTAATCTGTTGCTGAATTAAAACAAAACTAACAAAAAATTAAAGTTCTGATGCCTCAAGCCAAATTGTGCTTCCATTTATGCTAGTGAACTTACTCAGGATTTATGCAGGTGTAAATGGCAGCAAATATTTTAAATGGCTTTAACAAAATTCCAGCTCCTGTGTTCACACCCTGCTCGTCAAGAGCAAATTGACAAGAGATGAGGTGAAAGCAGAAATAGGGACTCAAACATTTCAGAATGACTCTGAGTGAAATAATGTTTTTCACCTGTTATGACTATGGGAATCTTTGTGGTATGCTGGGTATTGTAGAACTGAAATTGTGCTCTTGTACTGGAACATCAAGATAGGTTTTAAATTTGCAAACCAAGTAATGAAAATTTA